CCATCTTTACCCATGATGTACTGAGAGGCTTTAACATAGGTTTGTTAGTGGGAACTTTAACTTATAGGTATATGGACAGAGATGCCTCACAGAAGGAAATGGCTACCTTGTTAGACTTGGCCACCTTGTCAGACTTCAAAGTCCTGGCTTTAGCCTCTTTAACTACTTTCCTTTTTATGTTCAATAAAGAATCATTCGGGCTTCAAAAACAATAAACAAGTATCAGCAATAGATTCTACCCACAACACTCCTGACACCAAATGTGTGGGGTGGTTTCCCACATCAACCAGTTCTCCCACTCTCCAGGCACCAACTCTGTCCTAAATTCAATTCTGACACCAACTACCCTGAGTTGACCTCAAACAAGAACAATCAGTCATTCCAACAACAAAATGTGTTCATTTAGAAGCAAACAACAGCAAGAGGGCAGACAGGGGAGTGTGCTCATGGTGAGACCCATAAGCATCTCTCCAGGTCAAAGGGGAACAAGTTCTTGCATAATCTCTGAAGCACCGCCTTCATAGTTCCACTGGAAGGAAAAACAGCACCACCTTCGTGCCAGAAGCAAAGCATGCTGGGTCCTGCAGTGTGCTGATTTACACACGCGTCGGCACTCTCTTTGTAGCCTCCTGGCCTCATTTAAGTAGGATTCTAATATTAATGTTCATGGGTTGGAGTAATTATTTTTCCCTTTTCAATGATGAGGTAATCATTCTGTTAATGTTGCACTTAGTGACTGACTCCAAAGCTGGCTGTCTTCGCCCCTTTACTAGATACCTACTGTTTAAAGCATGCATACCACAAAGCAGAAAGTTCCTGAACCATTGCAGACAACCTGAGAACTGTCTGCAATTGGTATAACTGTTCTGATGCAATTCATTTTGACAACTGTGCTTGGTATTGAGATATGGAGATAACAGAGCTCCCAACCTAGAAAAATCTAGGGCTGCTAGTGATCTAGACAAATAAACAAAAGTAATACCGTGTGAAAGGGGGAGCACACAGAATATGCTTTTGACTAGAATCAAGCCCAGGTGTACAAAGATAACTCCCTGCTTGGAATGAGGATCAGTTTAGGCTGTTCACATAATAGAGAGAAATCCAGATGGAAAAAGCAGGATTGGGATGGTTAGCCCAGCCACTCCTGGCTTACAGTTTTCTTCAGAACTCCAATGAAGAGGATTTGCTAATTAAGAGGTTAAGCACCTGGACCTCCCTGGTGGCTTAGGGGTTAAGACTCAGTACTATCACCACTAGGGCCTGAGTTCAATCCAGCCAGTGGCTAACCCACATGGTGCAGAAGACCTCTCTGCTCTTCCCCTGCTACTCCCCTTAGCAGTGTATTTCAGTCAATCTGCCTGTTCTGCCCCCCACTTTGTCTCTGGTGAATCCTCTCCCCCCCACCCCACACCTCTGGCCTACACCCCAGTTCTTCTACCCAAAAGTTTAGAGAAAAAAAAAAAAGAGTTGAAGCACCTCCTGTTATTCTTGTTTCTCAGCTCAGTTGTCCTCACTTCCTATTTTTAACTTTACAAGGTTCCAAGTAATATTACTCATTAAGTCAGGCAATCATTCAATAAATGTTTATTTATTGCCTACTCTGTGCATTGGGGAGTTGGAAGGTGGACAAGATAGACAACATTTCTGCTCTTCTAGGGCTTATGTGCTAGTGGGGGGAAATAAATGAACAATAACTAAACAAATAGAGCCATTGCAGAATATGGTGATTGTGATGAAAGAAATAGACAGGACTGTCTAAAGGCAAGGTAACTGAGGAAGCCTTCTTAGAAAGAGTGGTCAAGAAGGCACTGGAGAGAAGACATCTGAGTGGAGATCTAACTGGGAACCATAAAGGGAGGAAGGGAGGGAGGGAGGGAGTAAGGAAGGAATTAAGGAAGAGTACTTTGGACGTGAGCTTCACTTGGAGAGGTGCTTAGTTCTAGGCACCTGTTTTGTAATGGAGCTAAAGAGGACTTTTGTTGTTTTATATACCAGCAGTAAGTATAGCAATAAAAAATACTTTAGTGGCCTCCTCGGTGGTGCAGCGGTTGAGCGCTGGGTTGCGAAGCTGCCCACGGCCTCTGCAGCACTGGTTCGATCCCTGGCTGCTCCCCGGCCATCGGAGGAGGGTCCCACATGGCGCGCAGACCTCTTCTGCCGCCTGCCCGCTGCTCCCCTCAGCAGTGTACTTCGGTCCTTCAGCCTGCTCTGCTCCCGGCTCTGGCTCTGGTGAATTCTCTCACCCTCCCGCGCTTCTGACTGTACCCAGTGCTTGTACAAATAAATAAATCTTTAAAAAAAAATACTTTTGGTCCTCTTGCAAAATAATTATTCACATTCTGAAACTTACTAAACCCCCATATTTGGCAAATGAATAAAAAATAAAATATAGTAGTGATGGAAGCTTAAGTAAGAAATTTTTTTTTAAGATTTATTTTTATTTATGCATACAAGAATTGGGGTGCAGGCCAGAGGTGCAGGGCGGGGGTGAGAGGATTCACCAGAGATAGAGTGGGGAGCAGAACAGGTGGATCTACTGAAATACACTGCTAAGGGGAGCAGCGGGCAAGATAGGAGAGGTCTGCTGAGCCATGTGGGTTAGCTCCCTGGCTGGGGATTGAACTCCTGCCCCAGTGGGTGGGGATAGTTAATAGTGCTGAGACTTTAACCCCTGAGCCACCAGGGAGGCCCTAGAGTAGGAAAATTTAGATGGAAGGTCTCACAAAGGCAAAAACCAAAGGTGGGGGTAGGGATGATTAACCAGTTGTTAAACTTGCAAATCTGCTAAAGAATTTTCCAGGAATCTGAGGTAGGGGCAGAAAGGATTATTAGTTACAGAAAACCAACCCAACCAGACCCCAAATTAATAAAATTTCACAAAGGAACAAACCCTTCTTCCACCCCCAAAGAACACTATAAAAGAACACCCCTTGACCTGGCAAACACAGATCTTATTCTGAGACTGCCCACCTATGTCTATACAGGCGTCTCTCTTTTTTTTTTTTTTTTTTTTAATACAGGCATCTCTTTTGATAAAGCTTGTCCTTTTCAAATTCAGCTCTTACCTGCCAGTGTCTATATGGGGCATCTCTTTTTCCTAATAAAACTTTAAAAACGCAGCCTTTCCCTATTTGTGTCTGTGCAAATATCTTTTTCCTTAATAAACTCACTGTGTGCCACTGAGGGGGAAACTGCCAAAACCTTTTCCAGAGGAACCCAAGAACCCTCCTCACTGAAACCCCAATACCTGAACGCCAACACCTGAACCCCCAAAGAAGGAAAAGTTGCCAGATATCATGTAATCCAACTCCTCATTTTTTATGACAAAACTGAGATCCAAAAAAGGTGACATGAAAGTCCTATGATTTCATGATGATAGTGGCAGAGCAGAAATTAGAACTGCAAATTGAAATTCTTAATAGGTTAAGGATGAACTATTTGTGATCCAGCAGGCGCTATTTGTATTGTTTTGAAAATGATACATCCATTTTCCCTCCATTTAATTTCTCCCACTGAGCTTTCCCTCTAGCTTGAAACTCTTCCAAATTCTGTTGTTAAAAAGAAAAACAACTTTGATGAAGGAAGTTATTCACTCCTCTTACCTGAATGTGAAAGCTGTATGAGTTTTCATTTACCCTGAAAACTCCCATTCAGGTTAATGATCTTGTTCTAAATACAAGTTCTGACCCAGCTTGAGAATTCTGGCTGAATACGGGGAGGCTGAATTCCAGACAGGAAGTAGGGGTAGGCTGTTGGCTCACATACCTGTTGCCCACACCTGCTCAGATGACTGGTCCATAGCAGCTGGGTGAAGTTGTTTCACCTCTGTTGAACAGCTCAGCTTCAGAGGACCAGAGCCAATATTAAGCTGTGCCAGCACCAAGGAACACTTACAACAACAATTAAAATGGGGATTTGAGGCCAGGCCAAAAAGATTAGGACTCACCATGCAATGTGACTAAAACTTCAATGATGAAGAATCTGTCAGGTGTTATGAGTTTATCAATTCCCAGAACATCAGAATGAGGAGGCACCCCTGAAAGAATGGAAGGAAATGTTACTTAAATGGATGAGAAGGGTCACCCAGGGTGAGGTCTGTGAAACCTTTGACGCCAAGTCACATGACTTAATAGGTCCAAAACTGTTCCTTTGAGCATTTTGGGGCGTCTGTCCTTCATGCCTGAAGCCCTTGCTGTTTTTTTGGTGCAGGTGGTGAAGCAAACAGAAAAGTGGAGCATATGTAGAAAAGGCAGCATTTCTTTTCAGATGTCAGAAACCCACAGCAAAAATTTTAAAGGGAGGGGTGTTTGTGTGTGGGCGTGGGCGCATGAAGGGGCTATTCCTTTCCGTAGCAGAGTGACTTAGGCTGCTGGCTTAATTTCTCTCTGTCAAACAAAGCAAACATGCCATTTAAGACAATTTCTTTTTTTTTTTAATATATATTTTTAAAGATTTATTTATTTATGCATACAAGAGCTGGGGTACAGGCCAGAGTTGCGGGGGTGGGGGGTTGAGAGGATCCACCAGAGACAGAGTGAGGAGAACAGGCGGCAGATTGAGTGAAACACACTGCTGAGGGGAGCAGCAGGTGAGACAGGAGAAGTCTGCTGCGCCATGTGGGTAGCTCCTTGTCCGGCCTGGGATCGAACTCGTGCTGCAGAGGCTGCGGATCGCTTCACAGGTTTCCTCTTAACCCCTTGCGCCACCAGGGAGGCCCAAGACAATTTCTTGGTCCTTTAAGAGAGGCGGAGTGGAGTGGCAGGGAGGTGGATAAACAAGTCGCTCAGCCTGCGGGTGGCCGCGTAAAGAGGGGACCCGCCTTTCCCATCGCTTTACTCCCATTGGCCCTTCATGGAGGGGGCGTGGCCATCTTCTCCGATATGGGCGGGATCTTAGAGCACTCGGCCAATGCAAGGCCCCCTCTGCAAGGGGCGGGTCTTCTCCACGATGGGCGGGTCCTGGGCGCGCCAGTCAGCCCTGCGTTCCAGAGGTGGCGGGGCCGGAGTCTCGCCGGAGTCACCGCCATGGCCGGGCTTGCCTGCGGGTCCACGCGCGCGCTGCTCGCCGCCCTGCTGGCGCCCGCGCTCGTGGCGCTGCTGGTGACGCCGGCGCGGGGCCGGGGGGGCCGGGACCACGGGGACTGGGACGCCGCGGCGCTGCTGCCGACGCTGCCGCCCCGCGAGGACGCGGCGCGCGTGGCCCGCTTCGTGACGCACCTCAGCGACTGGGGCGCCCTGGCCACCATCTCCAGCGAGCAGGCCGTGCGCGGCTGGCCCTTCGCCGACATCTTGTCGCTCAGTGACGGGCCCCCGGGCGCGGGCACCGGCGTGCCCTACCTCTACCTGAGCCCTCTGCAGCAGTCCGTGGGCAACCTGCAGGTGAGCGGCGGGCGGCGTGGCGCTCACCTGAGACCTGCCTGGGAGGGAAAGGGAGAGGAGCCTTGCAGCCCGGCCCAAACTTCCTTTTCTGGCCCCGCGCGGGCAGGGCAGGCGGTGCAAGCACACCCCGCCGCTGGGCCACGCACTGGGGGTGAATCCTTAGCCCTGAGTTGTCTTGGGGCGCAGTGTCTCAGGAACCGCACTCTTCTTATTAAAAGTTTTACAAGGCTTTGAGATAGCTGGGTAGTTAAGCACTCTGTATTCGTGGCTTGGGGGTTTCTTTTTCTGACCCCTAAAGAGTTTTCCCTTCTGTCGTGAGAAGCTACTATACACCATTGGCGATGAATACAACAGTTAATGCAAACTTTAGGTCCCCTGTGCGTGTTGGCTTCCCTAGTAGGGAGTAGAATTGATTGCAGGTCTGTTTCCTCCTCACCCTGTGCCTGCCTTTGGGGGTAAGGCCATCTTTGCACCTCCTCCTCATCCTGTGGCTACCTTTTGGGGTAAGCTCATCTTTGGCTGATGGACCCCTGCTGTCCCAGGTGACACATAACTTGGGAGGCTAGAGTCACAGACTCCAGCCATGGAGGCTGATTTGCTGATTTGGAGGGGGGTCTTTTTGATGAAGATCTCAGATTGGAGGTGAACTGGGGAAGTACAGCATTGTTGATAAAGATAAGATGAAAGCAACTGATATTTGATTCTGCACCTACCTACCATTCCAGTCTAACTTTGAAGAAGGTAGCACTGTCCTCTAGCCAATGAAGAACTTGAGACGCAGCTAGATTAAGTAATTTACCCAAAGCCAGTGCCAAGCTGGAATTCCACCCCAGGTTCATGTTCCTTCAAAACTCAGACCACAATGGGCTCTTAATAGATTGCCCCCAAATCTTCCAACCATCCATTTTTGTAGTGACTACCAGGATAATTTTCCTGTGATCAAATTTTTCTTCTGACCAAAAAATTTTCATTGCCCTCTTATGGCCTGCAAAATGCCAAAGTGATGATTCAGCCACAGGCTCCTACTGACCCCCTGATCTGGCCCCAGTATGCCATGAGAGCCTTACAGTCAATATTTCCCCTAAAGATATTCAACACGCAAACCAAAGTAAATGTTCTGCTAATTGTACAACAGCATTCCTTTGCAGGAACTTGTCTCTAAAAACAACAAAACAAAACAAACACAGATCACAGACTGGTAGCACTGAATGTTCCACAGACCAGTTTTTCTTGGCATACAGAGTTCTGCCTTTTGTATTTAATTAATTTGAATTAGTTCTCCAACACTTAAAAGTTGAGATTTCAATTAAAAATCTGAAATTCTAACTTATTAAAAAATTGGAAGATCTCATGACACCGGGGTGGGGGACTGCATTCTCTGAGCAGAAACAAGCAACTGCCTCCTTTAAACACAGCGCATGCACCCTGCTCACCATTTCCTTATTCCCGGCCCTTTCCAGCCTCTTCGACATTTGCTGAAAGCAAGCTCATTTCACTGCATCAGGGATGCTCAACCTTGGCTGCAGATATGGTCAGCTCCCTATTTCCAGAAAGTCTCTTTCAAGCAAATGGGTTGTTCACTACTCTCCCATCATGCCTTATACTTTTCCAGTTTCATGTTTTGCAATCACCTTTCCCTTTTTTTTTTTTTAAGATTTATTTATTTATGCATACAAGAACTGAGGTATAGGCCAGAGGTGCAGGGGGTGAGAAGATTCACCAGAGAGAGAACAGGCAGAAAATAAACTGCTGAGGGGAGCAGCAGGCGGGACAGGAGAGGTCTCCTTCTCCATGTTGGTAGCTCCCTGGCTGACCGGGGATTGAACTCGTGTTGCATAGGCTGCGGATAGTTTAACAGTGTTATACTTAACCCCTACCTTTCCCTTTCCCTTTAATATGTTCTCACCACATCTACCCTGCTTTTCAATAGTCTGTGAGGTTCCCTGTAGTTTCTATATCACTCCAGGCTATCCTGACAAGGAACTCCTGACATTAAACTTCAAATACATTTAACGCTATCATTCATTTGACAGTCAGTTATGTACTGCCTTTGACTTCATCTGTCTTTATTTTGCATGATACCGGTTTTGTTTTTATCTAACTTTTCAACTTTGCTTAATACAGGTTTTGTTTTTATCTAACTTATAAACCCACAGATGAGTTTATAATGAAGAGAGACCTCCTCTGCCGCTCTCCTCCCACCTTTTTGTCTCCTTATCTAATAGTTTACAGACAGCAAATATGTGGCTTAATAATTTCAAGGAGATCTCTTCATGACTCACTGTTACGGGTCACCGAAAGATAGTAAGATTCCCTACTCAAAACACTAGGAGTTTAAAGTGCTAACTACTGTAAAAGGCAATGGGTGACTTTTGCTGCAACATGTCAGCAATACCTTTTGCAAAGCTAATTTCTGAATAAGAAAGAACTTGGAGTTGTGCTTCCCTTCCCTTTTGAATCTAAGACTTCTCTTATTCTAGAACAGGAATAAGCAACTTCTCCAGTTTTGAAATCACATGACAGTGTCTGCCAGGATAAGATAACCAAGCAGCATGATTCAGCTACTTTTTTTGCCTAAAATGTATAATTTATCAACCATAAGCAATTCTGGCAATTTATGCATTAGTCTTCATAAGAGTCTAAGCCTTTAAATCTTTCCATGAATGCTATAGATCAGCCTTGAATTTAGGTGATAATTGTAATTCCTCTGGTGAATAGGGGGCAGATTAAGAGTTTAAGAAAAAGTGTTCAAATAACTTTTGCTGAGTCAGTTAATTTTAAATTTCAAACTCTTACACCCTCTTATGGGGGAAAGGGTCCAGATTAGTCTCTAAGTAGTATCTTTCCCCTGGGTGGAAGGTGGTGGTTTACAGTTCATTGCTTCTTGGAAGTTCAAGCTCCCAGACAGCCTGAATGCAATTTAGGAAATGCATTACCTCTCCAGATACATTATTTCACGTGAGTGGGTCTTCATTTTCTCTTCACAGGAGAATTCACATGCTACGCTGACCATGTCTTTGGCACAGACTAACTTCTGCAGGAAACATGGATTTGACGCCCAAAGTCCCCTCTGTGTTCATATAATACTGTCAGGAGTTGTTACTAAGGTAAATCATGACCCCACAAGAAAGAAACTGGTTGTAGAAAAGCATCATCTTGTTAATAGGGTAGAGATATTTTAAAAATTATATAAAATTGGTGGTTGAGATGGAAAGTTAAAATATGTTCTAGTATGTAAAATAATTTCATAAAAACAAAAGGTTTATGTTAGTTGCATCAGCTGTAAAACGCCTATAGAAAGTGTCTGCATAATGCAAGCTCACTACACCACATTTACACTGTAGTGTTTCTCATGTCTGGGTTCCTTGTCTGCATAATTTAAAAGTGCCTTTAGAGCAGACCACCCACTAAGTAGGCTGAAAGGGAGTACCCATTACTAAGTACTGGAAGCAAATTTAGACTTCAGGGTGACTGCCGTGGGGAGAAAGTTAAATAAAATTGTGAGAAGGGCATAGGGCACAGTGTCAGGAGCACAGATCTGGTTGCTGAGCCAACAGATTTGCTCTCTGACCTTGTCAACCTTGAATATCTGCAACAAGTTCAATTTATGGTCTGGAAATTCTTTGTGGACACATCAGTGGCTGAGTGTCAGTCCCTAGCAGAAGAGGGGGAGGATAGGTAGATGCTAGTGAGTTCTAGCATGCTATGTCTAAAGGTTTTTCCCCTCTGTGCATCTCCAGGTTTAACATGCACGTTATGATATAAAAATACTAATGTTTCTTGGCACAGGCACCAGGGACATTTTATTATAGGACCCTGTGCCAATTACCTGGTAGCTCAAAATTACTGTTTACTGATGAAAATTGGTCCTTAGGACTATGGTTATGGTGCACAGGTGAATGGGTGGTGGGAATTTTACAGGGACTACACCTGAGAGAAGAAAGCAAATATTGTACAAAAATGAGCAACTATATATATATATATATATATATATATATATACATATATATACACACACACACACAAATTTAAAAGATTTTTTAAAAGTATAGGAAATGTTAAAAAAAAGAAAGAAAAGAAAGAAAATTGGTTGCCCACTTCATTCTGTTATCACTAACATTTGAAATCTTTATTCTTGTCTGCGTTTCTTTAAGCTTCCTTTATTTTCACCTGCTTCCTTAAGTTTAAGATCAGGATTTATAGTGGAGCTTAAAAGTTCTCAAGAAAAAAGGGAGAAAACAAATTGTAACTACATGTGGTATTGGATGTTAAACTTACGTAGTGATCATTTTGCAATATATCCATATAGCAAATCATTATGTTGTACATCTAAAATAAAATATTAGATGTCAGTTATCTCAATAAAAAATGTTTAGAAATCAGAATGTAAAACTAAGCTCTTCAGGATTCATACAGTGTAAGAATCACACATCCCTAACAGATGAAAAGACAAAATGTCACTGTCATATCACCTTTGTCCTTAAGGTAAATGAAACAGAAGCGGACTTTGCAAAGCAGTCATTGTTTATTCGACACCCTGAGATGAAAACCTGGCCTCCCAGCCATAACTGGTACTTTGCCAAGTTGAATATAACCAATATCTGGGTCGTGGACTACTTTGGTGGACCAAAAATAGTGACTCCTGAAGAATATTATAATGTCACAGTCCAGTAAGTATTTACATGTCTTCCACCTTTCTGCTATTGTAGTCTTGTCAGTGTCCTCTCTCCCACTACCCCCAACTTCTTAAGCAAGGGAGTCTCAATCATTTTATGTGTCATGGATTCCTTTGGTGGGTTGGTAAAGGCTGTGACTCCTCAGAATTATATTTTTAAATGCGTAAAAGAAACAGGATGACAAAGGAAACCAGCTGTGTTGAGATACACTTATAAACATATTTTCAGTTTATAAGTAGTAAGTTGACTTTTTAAGGAACACGTACATAATAAGATCTAGTAGTGAGTCTAGAACTTTGCTTTCAGAGTAGTGAGAACTGAATGCAGTATTTTAAGATGTCCGCAACAGCTGTCATGTGGTATGAAAGTGTGTGACTTCTGTGTTTCTGTTGGTGACAATCACAGAGGCATTCTCTGCTGTGGTATATTGAAGGAAATGATAAATTTCAGTGAGAGCTTAATGAAAATTAAAAAAAAGAAAATCTATCCAAGTTTACAGACCCCCTGGACTCTACCAAAGGTCTGCATTCCAGGCTGAGAGCCTGTTTCAAGGCCATGCTTGTGTGGCCTGGATGGAGTTCTTTCCTGATTGGGGTGGGGTGAGACTTGTGCCTCCGGACAGTGAATGATCCACATTGGAGCTGAGGGAGAAGTGAGGAGGAGCGAGTCTGACTGAGCCCCCAGTCCTGTGAATGCCTGGGGAGGCATGTCCCACCAGCAAGTGCACATTGGGGGGGAGTAGGAGGCCACCAAAGAGGCCTTGACAGTCCAGGAGAAGAACAGAACCTGCCAGTGGGGAAAGGACAGCAAAGAAGTGTGTGATCAGCTTCTTTACAATTAGGCCATGGTTCAGATGGGGGAATATAGGGTGTGGCCAGGTGAGGTGTGGACCTTTCCCTGATTCTGGCCTATCTGATACCCCCTAGGCCTGATGGGAGGTGAGAACAATAGCAGGTTCTGTGAGTTGAGCATTTATTACTGGTCAGTGCTGTATTGGCTGGTTCATATGTGTTAACTCACCAAATGGTCACAAGAGGCCTGTTAAGTTAGGTAATATTTCCCCTCAGCTGTGAGATGAAATGCTGATGCCCAAGAAAGAAGTTTGCTAGTGTCTTAGTGCCAGTAAGTAGTGGTGACAGGATTCAAAGCCCAGCATTCTAGCTCCAGAACCCTCACCTCGAGTCTCACCCTGACCTTATACTGCCCTGTCATTACCTCGCTGGTGATGGCTAGGCTTCTAATCCAGCACCTTCTACAATGCACGTTCTACTTGTAATGACTGGCTGCTCTTTGCAGAGGGTAGGGTGACCACGTGAAGCTAGATTTGCAGGTTGTAGCTCGGGTTTGTGCTTAAGTTTTTAGCAGCCACTTGTTCAGTGTCCTGTCCCTTTGAGAACACGTCCATGTTGAACTACAGACTTCCCATCATGACAGTAGATTTCTTCACAGCAAAGCTCAGGTTTCATTTTTACTTTATCCCACTCAGGGCCTAAGCAGCACACGGCACAGAATGGTGTTTAGTGAATACCAACTACTTGTCAGACTGGTAATTGGAGACACAGATTCTCAACTTCCTGGTTTGAATAAAGAATCTGGCAGTTATGGCATCTACTTGCTGCTGTGCAGGCAGAAGAGGAGGTACAGGCCAGAGATCCTGGTCTGGGTTGGCAAAGCCCTTTCTTTGTGGGAATGTAGAGGTAGCAATTGTTGGGGGGGGGGGGCAACAAATGATCGAGGGAGATGACCCGTAAGCTGTCAGGTCCGTTCTTCCTCTTCAAGGTTAGAATGTACTTTTACAGAACATAATCTCTGAAGTACAGTCATCTTCATATAAATAACACGCCCAAGGGCTGTGCTTACTTTAATAACAAAATAAAAATGTGTTTTCCCATGAGTCTGCATGCTGAATAAGTGAGTAAAACAGATACATTTGATGTTCTCACTTTATTACACAGGCCAGTGAGCCTTTTCTGCAGCTCACAGATAAGAGGGAGCATTTTCTCCTTGTTCTTTTGTGAGGAGCACCAAAGAATAGGCCAAGTGTGACCCCTTCGGAGGCAGGATGCCAGAATCCTAGAAATGGGCAGTGCCCCAAAGCTGACCATTGTGAACAGGTGCCTCTGACTAGTAACTTTCTATTTCAGATGCTGGGAGTAGCCCTCCCCCAGGCCTTCCTCTTCCTCTGTCCCAGGCCCCTACATCCAACTCACCCAGTTTGCCACTAGAACTATTTAATAGCTGGGAGGTGGGAGAACAGTGATATTTATAAAGGTCAAGGGCCTGTACCTTCTTGGGGAGTTACTCCCCAGGGCCTTACAGGTCTTCTGGGGCGTCCCCAAATGGCAGTGACCTTGCCCGGTTGCACAGATTAGTTTTGGAAAATGTTATTTCTCCAAATACCATAAAGCTCTCTGACCTGAAATCTGTTTCCCTTTGATGTAGTCTTTGTGAACTCATCAATACCAGTGCCACTTGACTGGGCTAATATGGGGCCTAGCTGAATATGGTTTGCCTCATTGCACTATTAGGTCAAGATCCCACCAGCATATTTGCATCCTGAATGGATCCTTTGCTGGCATCTGGAATAAGCAGTTACCTCCTATCATTGTTGGGTCTGAGCAGCTGAATGTTTGCACCGGGCCTCATCTTCCTAGGGGCACCCTCTGTTGCTTAGCAAGGCCAGAGTTAAATGAGAGGTCCTGGGTAACAAGGTCACACTCTCCTGGCCTAGACATTGATTTCGAGAGCTGTGGGCGAGGCTGCGACAGGAAACCACTTGGAACTGGACACATCCAGCTGGAATCTGTATGGTCAAACCCTGGTTAGTTCATTTGCTCTAATGCTTAGGACCCCTTCTGTTCTCTATAGTTTTTGTCTTTTAAACCTTCAGATATTCTTGAGTATCCACAGCACAGCAGCCATAGTCATGGCCTTATTAATGTTGCATTATGGACACAGTCAAGTGTCAGCATCATTCTGGAGAGGAGGGAAGTTAGCTAAAATAAAGGTTCCTAGGCCTGACCCTAACCCTATAGGTACTAGAACTCAGGAATCTTCATTTTAACGAACTCAAGCAATTCGTTGGTTCAAGAAAGTGACTGAAAGTCTCACCATCCTTAAACTTTTAGATTACAGGTTTCTCTAATTCTTCCTAAGAATGAATTTTAAGATTTGTCAACTCAGTTTAATGAAATGGTTCTTCCTCCTCTCTCCCCTGTAGGTGAAACAGAATATGAGGAATTCGACTACACATGTGAAGTTGCTTAGGATGGTTCATACAGCCTTGAAGGGCTCGAAATCTTCCCAAATCAGCCAGTTTTCTCTCAGATGAAGAAGATTTGGGAAATCTTCCCAAATCAGCCAGTTTTCTCTCAGATGCTGTTTTGTTTGCTTCTTTGCTTGCTTGCTTGTTTGCGGAATAGACTTGCACAGTTACTGTATTTCCTGGGAGATGTGGTTGCTATATTTTTCCATATCTTAAAGCCACTTTATAGGGAGGTGTCTTTCTTTATGATCAAAGAAGTTGTGTTCCATCAATCTCAAGTAGTTTTCTGATGCTGTTCCTTGAAAAGGAGCAAGTACCAGATTCAGATCACCAGTGGGCCTTTGAAGCTGCTGGAGTGCATGTTGGTTATTCCTGGAGACAGGTGGGGAGAGGGCTGTGCCCACCCCTGCCTGCAGCTAAGCCTTCCAAGGGTGTGGTTCGTGTGGCTGTGTCCTGAAAAAATCTTGCCAGGACCACCGTGATGAGACACAAATGAGCTTCCTACTCAGGGTTCATTTTTGTCTGACTGTCTTGGTAGTGATCCAACAGAGGGCAAAATTGTTTTCTTATAAAGACCATTTTTTCAACTTTTTCAGATCTAAAATGAAAATGATCTAGAACAAAATTCACAAAACATTTCCTGAAATTCATTTTCGTTTCTAAGTAGAAACTGTTATCAGTTAATGTCACTCAAATTACACACATACATTCACAAGTACAAAACGGGATTGTGAAAGATAAAGAAGGAGTATGGAATTTTGTGTGACTGTAGTTTCTGTGCTTTTATAAGGAGTTTAACCCAGACACAAAACAGCTTTGTCAGGGCCAAATATCACTCCCAACCACTCTGTAGCTTTTTTAAGTTACTCTCCACCATGATCCTAGACTTCTTCAGCTGCTCTTAAATCTCTAAATGACTGCTAACTTACTGTCTAAATCAGGTTATCAGAGAGAAGATAACATGGCATTTTTTAAGAAATCACATTTCCTCAGAAGAAAAGAAACTTCAGGTTTATTCCCTGTATACATGATTTCAGAAGACAGCATAAGTTCTCTTATAAAGAGCACTGTTAGAAATATAACCACTAAATCCTTAAATGGCTAAGAGAAAAGTTGAATATGAATCATGATGCTTGAAATCTATAAAATGAACTCATCTGGCAAACAGCTCCTGTTTAAGGAAAATGATGTATATTAAACTTGGTAAAGCAGGTTTGTTGTTGAAAAGCATCGAAATAAAAAGCATTATTTTAATGAAATGTGTTGGATGTATTTTCTTAAATGTAGATGTTAGTATTTGTTACCCCTCTGTCTCATTGAATACTGTCAAAACTCTTGTGTGTATGTTAGCATGTTCTTAAATCACCCACTAGTCGTTTCAGAGCTTGGAGTGAGTAACACGACTCTCCCGTTGCTAAGCAGTTCACTGTGTCTACAAGTTTGTGGATGACCAGCAGCCTTCGTCAAGGGTCTTACCTCAGGGCCTTGGAGGCCAACGTACCTTGTGAGATAATTAGTTGAGAATATCAATCTGCTTTTTCCCCTCTGCCCAGTTATTGTGAGTTTTGTCTCCCTTTGGTGCCATATAAAAACAAATCTATATTCAGGTTAAGTTATAGAGTAAAATCAACCAATTTTTCACAGCAGACTGCAGATTCCTTAACACAGCAGTTCCTAGAATAATGTTTTGTTCAATGTTGTTTTCTTATAATGATGAAAGAAAAGGAATCCCTGCGTACACTGAATGAAACCTTATTGGAAGACCTGCGTTCCATATAACGTTTCAGTTTCCAAGAACCTATGGAGAACCTTAAGTGAGGACCTACTGAGGACTGAGCTGTGACAGTATGATTGGCCACCAGAGGGCACTGTAGACCACTCTTTGTGCAGATGTCTATTGTACAGCAGAGCCTATCAAGCCCCAAGGAATGAGGATGCCAGGAGTCAGGATGGGTTAGGTGGTCTCCCCAAAATGATGCTGAGGTGCAAAGACAACCCAGCAGGGGCAACAGAAGAAACAGGTTGGTCTCATGTTGCTGCTGTCAGGTTTTCATGGTTTTACCCCTCCTTCCAGGCCCTGTGTGTGCCCTACTTGCTACAGAAGAGGGACAGAAACCTGTTCTTTACCAGAGAGAGGACAAATGTTCTGGTTGGGGACAGGCTTTGACCCAGAGAGCAAGGCAGACTAAGATTAAGAGAACTTTAGGGGCCTCCCTGGCGGCGCAGGGGTTAAAATCTCAGCGCTATCAAGCTAACACCAGCCACTGGGCCATGAGTTCCTTCCCAGGCCAGGGAGCTACCCTCATGGCGCAGCAGACCTCTCTGTCTCCCCTCTACTCCCCTCAGCAGTGTATTTCAGTAGATCTGCCTGTTCTGCTCCCCACTCTGTCTCTGGTGAATCCTCTCACCCCCGCACCTTTGCTCTGGCCTATACCTCAGTTCTTGTATGCATAAATAAATAAAAATAAATCTTTTTTTTTTTTTTAAAGAAAAGAGAACTGTAAAAGTAGGAAGAGGGAATCACTGAGGAGCAAGCCTGAAGCTACTGAGCCTAGATGTCTGCTTTTGACAGCCACTGTCTCAGCCTAGGAACTATGCTCAACTTAGTCAAGGCCAAATTTGTCTTGGCCAAACCATGATTAATAGTCAATTTATTTTGCCTTCTAGTCCAGATTCAAATTCCTTGCAGGTACATAGTGGGGTAGAGAAACATCCTTTATGAAATGAGACAGAGCTCGATGAAATAACGGCATACACTATTCTGACTTGAGGCTGTTAATGTCATATTTCCCTTCTTAGTAATATTCATACTAAAGATCACAAAATAATTGAAGGGGAGAGTCTACTTTCCAATCACAGGGCATATTCTCAGTTTTACTACAGAAAACAATAACGTTCTATTTCATGTAAAGCTGGTTGGTCAATATTTTTGTAGGGAAATTCCAAACTGTCACTTCAGAGCCAGGTGCTCTGTAAATTTTCATCTGACAAGATAGTTGTAACTTAAGTCCTTTTTGTAATCAATCAACCAATCAAACTTCCACCTTTTTCTTAGTTTTTTTTTTCCTTAGTATATATTGTAAGTAAGCTACACATATGTGAAAATTATGGGAAATAAAATAGTTAAAAATTCAAAATCCTAGCAGTCAGCATGATTGCTGTCATTTAAGGTGTTTTCTTCCAATCTTGGCTTCCATGAAATGTTTAAATGTTATCAAGATCATGCTGCATATTGTGTCTTACATGTTATTCACTAAATCACAAGTTCATGTTGCTAGAAACTGTTCATAGAGATGGCTTAGCATGTCTGCAGAATATTTTCTCAGATCAATCTATCCCAGCTAGCAAATAATGGTCTATATTAGCATTCTGTTACAGATGACAGAACCCCTAGTGAAAGTAATTTAAGCAACAAAAAGGAGCTCATGATCTTAAAATATCCCTCCAGGACTCAGTTCTCATCCTTCCATTGTGCAGGTCTTAAGTGCAGCCAGCATTCTGAGAGTGGAAGGTGCCTCTTTTCTGACCAGGGGAGTAATTTCTGAGCAATAGCTGTGTTGGGAGTGGGGTACCCTTATCGGCGAGGCCCAGGTCCTGTATCCTTCCCTATATTCAGGGGTTCAGCTCAGCACCATGAGGACCACAGGGACAAAGAAAATTTGGAGGGGCATCTGAACACGAAGAAGAAATGCTAACTGAAGAGGCATAGAACAGGCAAAAGTTTCAGGCTATTCCTATTTTTGACACCCCAATGTTTCAACATTTTTGTTACTTCCAGTTTTTCCTGTTATAAGAGAAAGCTCTTTATGCAGAAAATATTTTCTACATTGCTGATGATTTTCTTAGGGTTCCCAGTCAAAGGCTATAGAGTACAAGTTACAAATAGCTCTGAAGAATTTATAACAATGTACAGTCCTGCAAGTTAGAGACACATATCTGATTTCACTTATAGATGGAATTAAAAAAAACAAAACCCCAAAACTCAGAAAGACAGAAAACAGATTGATGGTAATCAGAGGGGAAGAGTTGGGGGTGGGTGAAATGGGTGGAGAGAAGCAAGACAAACAAACTTCCAGTTGTAAATCAAGGAGATGTAATGGACAGCATGGGGACTATAACCAATAAGATGGTCTTGCAAATTAGAAAGTTGTTAAGAAAGTACAGCAAACAGACTTATTGTAATGATCATTTTGCCACATGTACAATTGCTGAATCATTATGTTGTACATCTAAAACGAGAATAATACATGTCAATTATATGCTCATTTATAAAAATATAAGAACAAGCCACGACACCAAAAGCACGAGCAACAAAAGCAAAAATCACCAAATGGGACCCTAGCAAACTAGAAAACTTATGTACAGAAAAAGAAACAACAAAATGAAAAGACAACCTACAGAATAGGAGAAAATTTTCAAATCATAAATCTGTTCCGGGATTGATGTTCAAAAAATATAAGACACTCATACAACTCAATAGCAAAAAAGCAAATAATCCAATTAAAAAAATGAGCAGAGGAACTGAATAGACATTATTCCAAAGAGGACATATAGACAGGCCTCCCTGGTGGCACAGGGGTTAAAGACAGCACAATCAAGCTATTGCCAGCCACTGCAGCATGAGTTCCATCTCCCACCCGCCCCCCCACGGGCCAGGGAGCAACTCACATGGTGCAGCAGACCTCTCCTGTCTCACCCGCTGCTCCCCTTAGCAGTGTATTTCAGTAGATCTGCCTGTTCTGCTCCCCACTCTGTCTCTGCTGAATCCTCTCACCCCCGCCCCTCTGGCTTACACCCAGTTCTTGTATGCATAAATAAGTACATCTTAAAGAAAAAAGAAGACATAGAGACAACAGGTACATAAAAAGAGGTTCGGCACCACTAATCATCAGGGAAATGCATATCAAAACCACAGTGAAATGTCACCTCACATGTGCTACAATGGCTATTATCAAAAAAAGCTAGAGATAACTACCATCTGATCTGGCAATCTTTCTTCTGGTTATATCTCCAAAAGAAATGAGGTCAGGATCTTGAAGCAATACCTGCACTCTCATATTCACTGCAACATTATTCACAATAGCCAAGACGTAGAAACAGCCAAAGTGTACACCAACAGGTGAATGGATGAATAATGAAGATGTGGTCTATATTCACAATGGAATATTACCCAGCCATGAAAAGAAGGAAATCCTGTCACTTGTGACAACATAGATGGAAAGTGGAGGTATTATGTTAAATGAAATAAGTCAGGCAGCGAAAGATAAATACTGTATGGTATCACTCATAGAAACGAAGTTAGTGGTAGTTAATAGGGACGGGAAGTGGGGGAAATGAGCAATGTTGGTCAAAAGACACAAATTTCCATTTATAAGATGAATAAGTTGTTTGAGGCTACCAGAAGAGGAGGGTCAGAAGGTAGAAGGAAATAGGGGAAGGGGCACAATAGATTCTGGTAGAAGATTTGTTGGGCTTTGGTGGTGGGTGCGGTGTGGTAACATACATTTGTGGAGGTGTGAACCCATACCCCTAAAACACATCTTAGGAAACCATTACCTCAATAAACATAATTTTTAAAAGAAATGAACGAGTTCTGAGGTATAACATGGCCATTAAATACTTGAGCATTGCTGAGGGAGTAGATCTCAAATGTTCTCACCTCGAAAAAGAGCTGGTAATTAGTTGAGATGACGGATGTGTTAACTAACCCAACTGCGGTAATTGTTCCCGTAAGGTATTAGTGTATCAAATCGACATGCAGAGCATTTTAAACACACACCGCTAAAGTTAGAGGACAAAACCAAAAACAACAACAAAGAAAATGAAATATGTTGCTGAGAGGTGGGGGCCTAGCGTGGAGTTTGCAAAGACATCCCTGTGCTCTGTGACCTCCTGACCCTCACCACCCCCAGCATGAGGCTCTGGGCTACTCTAGCTACACCACCTGTTCTGGCCAGGAGTAATACAGAATATGGATTGGGAGAGGAAGAAGTGGAAAGGTGGGCATAAAAAACCCCTATGTCTATCAGAGTACCCCATCTCCTGGGAAGCAGCACCCCACACCACCATAGCAGCTGAACTCTGGCACTAGCTAGCTCTGTCATCTTCAACAAGTCTTTTACCTTTCCGGGACTCTGTTCTCTCCTTTGAAAAATGGAAGTTTAAGTTAGAGGGCTTCTCGCCTCCATCTAACCGGGAGGGTCTCTGACACAATAGTAAACACTTTATACCCAGGTGTAACCAATCAGGCTTTACCTGTTCCTCCAGGGCCTTTGCATCTGAATGAAGAAAGAGGGCCCCAATTTCTTTACGTCCTGGCCAACATTTTCTGTCATTTTTATTCCAGGCATCCTAGTAGGTTCTGTCATTTTTATTCTGCCTAGAATAAAAAATCCTAGTGGGTGCAGGTATAAGTCATTGTAGTTTTGATTTGCATTTCCCTAAGGGCTGGTGATGTTGAACACCTTCATGTGTTTATTGATCCTTGTATATTTTCTTTGGGAAAATGTTTTTTTTTAATTAATTAATTTATGTATATTTTACGTCATTGTTCATTTTTAAACAATGTATCCTTTTTTTATACCCCTCAGGTGTAGTCCCCATAGAATTTCCTCCACCAATTCACCGGAGCACCATCACCACAGTCCCCTGTGCTCCTCCCTCCCTCCCTCCCTCCCTGGAATCCCTCTCCCTCCCCCATCCCTGCAGGATGTCTCTGGTTTATAATTGTCTGTTTGTTTTTGTTTTGTTTTATTGTGTTTTGCATTGTTATTATTTTTTACCCCTCATGTCTTTTTTGGCTCCCCTATATTTTCTTCCATAAGTGAAACCATCCAATATTTTTCTTTTTCCGTCTGACTTATTTCACTGAGCATAATTCCTTCTAGCTCTGAGAAGTGTTTACTCACATCTTTGGTCAAATTTTTTTCTGACGAATTAAGCAGAAATTTTATTTCCAGGCTCTTCAAAGATGATTCTTAACAATCTAAAGGTGGCCCAATTTAAATCAAAGGCACATCAACAAAATAAGATACTCGTGACATATAATTCATTTAAGTTGTTCTATTTTCATATAAATTTGGTAATCATTTGCGTTTAAGTCACACTTTAAACATTTTTTGAAGACATGAGATAACGCAGTATTTTTTTTTTTTTTAAAATACAACCACCGCTATAAAGTAGAGTAACTTAAGAAGACAAAGATCAAATCTGCTTCACACACAGGATGGAACAATCTAATACACAACACAATATTATTCTTTGCAAACAAGTTTGCTAAGAAACTGTTTTCATACAAAAATAAAACAATCCTCTTGCTTAGAAAACTCAAGACATCATTTGATTAATAAAGTCATCCTTCTTCCAATTTCACACTCACTTGTCTTCATTTAGAAGTTATTAATAATACATGAAAGTAAAACAAATTCTGCTATTGCATATATATCTTGGGAACAACAAATTACAAATATTCAAAATTTTAAATAAACAAAAATATTTCCCTTCCCCAAAAGTAAAAACCCAGTAAATGACCATACATAATAATTCAGCTATTGATACACTAACAATTCACTTCTGAAAGATGTATTTTGGAATATTTGCTGGTAAAGTTTCTGTTTGTCTTCAGGGTAGAACACTAAATGAATCAAGTCATTATTATTTAAAATTCTACTCCATTAAGTTTCCTTATTTGATTTATAGTTTCTCTAGAATTTTGGCTGCAAGATCAAGTGACAGGAAAGATCTGAAATAGTGAAGTCTTTTGGTGAGAGAAAAGTGTTTTAATGATGAACTACTTCGCGTTTGATCACGTTCCTCAACTGCTCTTCATTCTTCAGAGGAAAGCACTGGATCTGGGCTGGGGCCAAGGGTTGTATCGGGGTGGCCTTGGAAGACATTAAGATGCTGGACACTAAGGGGAGGTCATCAGGGTCCTTAGGCCAATTTTTCATTTTTTTTTTTATTGTTGTAGTTGTAGGAATTATTTCTATACTCTGCATACTTGACTCTTATTAACATGTAATTTGGAAATCTTTTCTCCCATTCTATGGATTGCGTTTTTACTTTCTTGATAGTTTCCTTTGTGCACAAAACTTTCAATTTTCGTAATTTGTGCTTTCAGTGTCCTGGCTATTCTTGTAACTTTTTCATGTAATTTTTGAAGCCAGTTTGTCTTGTTCTAGAACTTTCGTTGGTCTTGCCTTAAGACTGACTGATTAATTTAGGGAGAACAATGGGCTGCTTAAGAGGGAGCTTTTTATTAAAGACCGGATTATAATTTTTCACTTACCCAAGACTTTTCTCTGCGTCTTTTTTTTAGTAATGTTTTCTGTAACTTTTTTCATGTAATTTTTGAAGCCAGTTTGTCTTGTTCTGGAACTTTCGTTGGTCTTGCAGTAAGACTGACTGATTAACTCAGGGAGAATCATGGGCTGCTTAAGATGGAGCTTTTTATTAAAGACTGGATTATATGTCTTCACTTACCCAAGTGTTTTCTCTGTCTTTTTTTTAGTAATGTTTTCAAGTTTGTTTCATATAAGTGTTATACTTTTTATCAAGTTTATTTCTGGATATTTATCTTTTTATTATTGTAAACCACTCCAATATTTAAATGCTGATAACTAAAAAAACATGTCTGATAGTCCATGTGAGCTGTAGTATTTCAGACTCTTACATCGTACAAATTCAGGCCGCATTCAGAGCTGCAACCTCAGATTGACTCCAGCAATTTGCTTTATAGATAAGGTCACTGAAGCCTAGAGATGCTGAGTGACTTACTCAAGGCCACACAGCAAGTAGGTGACAGAAATGTCACTAAATCGAGTATTTTTTCTCTACATTTAGTGTGACTCTGAATCCAGAGCGCTCTCATTTCACCAAGCTTCATAATATGTTTGAGCTACTAGGAAAAGAGCAAACGTTCTTACAGATACGGGGACTCTGCTAGGGACTAAATTCAGCCATTAAGAAATTAGCAAAAATACGAAAAAAGGGAAAACAAAACAAAAGTTAAACAAGAGTTAGAGCAAAATTCACACAGGCAGATGCACGTACACACACACACCAAACCCTCAAACCTCCCCTGGCTTCCTGCCTATGAACCAAAAGGGGGAGTGTGAGTTTCTTGGCGCTGTAGGCAGGTGCCTTCTTCTCAAAGGCCCCATCATCCTCCACTTCCTGAGGTGGCAGCGGCAGAACAAAGCCGGCAGAGTCTCCTTGTCTTTGTCCCAGCCAAGGCCTCACAGCCTCTGCCTCCCAGCGATTCCTGGGGGAAGCTTCAAGATGAAGTGGAAGGCACTTGTCATCACCTCCATCCTGCAGGCGCAGCTCCCCGTTACAGGTAAGTGGACTCATGGATGGACCTTTTAAAAATTATTTGTGCATGTTGGGGAGGGATGGAGAGAGGCGAAGAGCAGGTGTCTCCTTCAGACTCCATCTCCCCAAATCAATGGGTAGCTGAGCAGAGGCAGGTCAGGCTCAGCCGTGGCACCTCCTCATATCAGCCAAGGTGGGCATCAGTTCAGAGCCCACTGCTTGAATGCACACCTGCCCAAAGTGGAGATCTTTCCAGTGATAAGAGAGAAAAGTTGGGGAGGAGGTGAGCAGAAAAGCAACCGAGGCAGACCCAGTGTGGAGAAAAGGAGGGAATCTAACAGAAGCTGGATGGGGCAGGAAAGTGTCAAGTGGGCCAGGTTTTGTGTTACGACATTTTTGTCTCTGCATCTCCTTCTTTGACCCCTTTGCTGGCGCATCACTCAGCCCCCTTCCCTCTTCCTTCGACAAAGAACATTTCGCTGGTTGTCAGGCAGGCTCACGCCACGCCACAGCCCTGGCTGCCTTGAAGGCCCCCATGCGCCAGGGCTGAGTGGGGTTGGCGAAAGAGGGAGGTGGCCTCCGCAGGGTTTGGGTGGGTGGTTTGTCTTGGCTGCGCCTGCTCCCCATGTCCTAAGCAAGGGTTGTCCTGTTCCACACTCACCCCAGGCTCAGTGATGCACCACCTCCTCTCACTCCAGGCAGCTCTAGCTGAGGCCAGAAAGCCAGAGATGCTGACAGAATGTGGGGGACAGAGGAGAGGGTGTCACTTAGACACCCTAGTATCAACCAACCAGCCAACAAGAAAGCGCACTCCTCAGCACGTTCCAGTTCAGGGGAGCCTGGTTTTTCGACAATTCTTTCATTTCTATCATGTTTTCTGGCCGCGAAAATGAGAAGAACTAATGAGGAGACAAAATGGACCGTCTTAAGGGGTTGGCGTCGTGGCATTTTTACAAGAAATGAGGCAAGCTAGATTTGAATCTAAAGAAACAGGGAGGAGAGACACAGGCAAGAGTCATTCCAACACCTAACAGCCCACCTCCATGGGGGGAAGTGTTTCTGGACAATGGTGGGAGGGCCAGAGGCCTCCCGTACATCTGTTCCTGCCAGGGACTGTGGCTCAGCCTTGGCCTCACACCCAAGGGATCCTGGGGATGAAGCCATGGCAGGTTTTCTGTAAGATCGCAGCTCTCTTCTCAGAAAAGCCTTGTCATGTATGAGTCACTCGCACAGTGGGTTGGGGACACCAGAGCGATCCCAGAGCTGCCCGTGCTTGGGATATATGGGGGGAAACAAAGGACATGATGCTCAAACAGCTTGTGAATCCAGAGATTTGAGGGGTAGGTCAGATTCTGGTCTCCAGGCCTGAGAATTGCACTTGGCAGGTTGTTTCACGACACAGAGTTTCCTCCCGGTCCAACTGTGTTGGCCGTGGGGCTAAAGCAAAGACGAGGTGAATCAGATGAGAAAATGAACGGTTGCTTGGATATTGATGGTTGCCAGCAGACAAGATGGGGGCCAGGCCCCATTTCCATAAATAACATTCGGGAGGAAAAAACTTTAGACTCATAGAAATTTTTTGACCTTTCAAATGTCACTTGCTTTGCCAGTGTGGAGAGTGAAATTTCAGCTATTTTCAGATGAGGCAACTAGACAAAAGTTTTTCAAGGTGTCCTAGCCTGGATGAGATCAGGGAAGGGGGAACTTAAGAGAGGCCTTCAACACCGGCGGCTGCTGCTGACAATTTAAGTGGAAGTCACCTCTCTTTTCTTGCTCAGTTCAGTTATTCACCCCCAGGCCCTTCTGAAACACCTACTATTTGCTAAGACTTTTTTACTGTGTTTCCTCATAAATGCCCAGATAATTAGGATCAAAGGAAACAACGATCTAACCCGTCTACAGGAGGAGGTAGTCCTTTGCCGACACAGTCACAGGGCCTGAGATTAGAAGAGATAAATGGGGCACAAATGGCACGGCCATGTTTTTACCTTCAGAGCCCTCAGGTCCTCAGCACCGTGAGCCCTGCTCCACTGTAGCTATGAGCACACCCAGTGGTCAGTGTGGCCTTTGTTCTTTGTCCAGGGAGGAGAGGCTCAGTCACAGGTCTCAGGAAAAGCAAGCTCCCAGGCTTGGGAGCAACTCTGCTCCAAGGAAGAAGGTAGCTGGCTATGGTGGGAAGAGTCAGGTCAACCACAGATGGAATCCCAGCGCTGCAGCTTTTTTAGCTGTGCAACCTTAGGTACATTTCTTAACCTCTCTGAGCTTCAGTTTTCTCACTCTAATAGAAGGGTCATCTTCCTTGCAGAGCTGTGAAAAAGGGAAGTGACTGCACAGCATCTGATATAGAGCAGAAAGCTTATTACACCCTGGCCTTTTCTCTTGCTCTCAACATCCTGAAATAGGAAATAGAAAAGCCCATGGTTAGGGTCCTTAATTTGCTTTCAGTTCTGTTAGAAAGAAGCACAGGGCATTTTCTTTATTTGTTGAAATCCATTTCATCCTTGTTTGATTTTTGAATAGACCCATAGTTGCACAGGAACAGAGTTGGAAGATAGTAGGTGGCAGGCAGAATTGAGAACTAAATCTTTATTTATTTATTTTAAAGATTTGTTTATTTATGCATACAAGAACTGGGGTGCAAGCCAGAAGTGCAGGAGGTGAGAGGATTCACCAGAGACAGAGTGGGGAGCAGAACAGACAGATGTACTGAAATACACTGCTGAGGGGAGCAGCGGGCAAGACAGGAGAGGTCTGCTGCGTCATGTGGGTTGCTCCCTGGGTGACTAGGGATCGAACTCATGCTGTAGTGGCCGGCAGTAGCTTGACAGCGCTGTCTTTAATCCCTGCACCACCAGGGAGAATCCCTACTTATTTTTTAAAGATATATTTATTTATGGGCCTCCCCTGGTGGCTCAGCGGTTGAGCGCTGGGCTACAAAGCTGCCCGCAGCCTCTTCAGCACCGGTTTGATCCCCAGCCACCGGGCGAGGGTCCCACATGGCGCACAGAACTCTCCTGCCACTCCCGATGCTCCCCTCAGCGGTGTATTTTGTTGGGGTCTGCCTGTTCTGTTCTCCGCTCTGGCTCTGGTGAATTCTCTCACCATCCCGTGCTTCTGACTGTACCCCGTGCTTATATAAATAAATAAATAAATCTTCAAAAAAAAGTTAAAAAAAAAGATATATTTATTTATGCATACAAGAGCTGGGGTGCAGGCCAGAGGTATGTAGGGTGAGAGGATTCACCTGAGACAGAGTGGGGAGCAGAGCAGGCGGATCTACTGAAATACTCTGCTGAGGGGAGCAGCGGGCAAGACAGGAGAGGTCTGCTGCGTTGTGTGGGTAGCTCCCTGGCCAGGGATCACACTTGTGCTGCAGTGGCTGCAGAGAGCTTCATAGTGCTGACACTTAACTCCTTGCACCACCAGGGAGGCCCCCCATTTTTATTTTTTAAACTTATTCCATAGGGGATATCCCTCTCCTTTTCCCTTTCCCACCCCACAAGTGAAAAAACACTTGAAAAACATACAATATAAATAGTTTAGGGGAGGATATTGGAGCCAGGTCCACCTGGTCATCACTGGTCAGGGTGTCCATTCAGATTTTGAAGCCAAATGGTTGGTGTGGGTGCCTCATGACTGGCTATTTATATGGAAATTTCCTGTTTTTTAAAAATTGAAGTAACATTGGTTTACAGCACTGTAAGTGGAAATTTGTAAACACTAGATATTTGCTTAACTTGCTTGGGACTAGATTGGATGGTAGTTTTTAAGTGACACTGTGCCAGTTTTTCATCCATGACATTATCACCAGTGGTTTATTCGAAACTCCATCACCTAGCTCTGCTCATCCAGATTGAGCTCTTTTGTTTTCAGCCTTGGCATGTCTCAAACTTGCTTGCCTAGAGCCCACATCTGCAGTCACCAAATAAAAACAGTTCTAGGGAGCCCTTGCTTAGGTGATTAGCAATGCTGTATTTATTTAAAGTCTTTGTCTTAAAAAATTTAATTTAATTTTCACTAGATATACCCTTTTACTTTCAAGAGACCCAAGCTTTGGGTCTCACATTTTATTTGGAAATGTTCGGCACCGCTAGACAACCGTCTTGTACTAGCATTGTCCAAATGCACCCCGGGAATCCTTTCTCTCTTGAATCTTATTTACCTATAAGTCAGCTAATTGATTAAATAAATCGAAGGAATAGTTCCAAATAATTGTCTTCTCTGCTTGAGCCAACGTTAGTTCTTTTTCATAGGAAAGTGATGATAGATTCGATCAGTTCGAACAAACATTCAGCCAATTTGGTTGAATGGGCCTGTTCGTTAAAACAAAATGATCATTTAGTCAGTGCAAATACAGAGTCATTTCTTTCAGCCTAAACAGTCGATCATGTTTATGGTCCCTGAGGAAAATGACACCTCAGTTTTGCTCAGAGACACATCCCAGCATGCAGCACAGTAGTAATCTCTGTGGAGTGAATTAAAAAGTGGGTATATGAGGGAATTCTATATGCTTCCATGTGATTCACTGATTTAATTGAGATAGTATATTGGAGGGGCATTGTGGGACTTTTTCTCTAGGGAACTTCATGTTAAAATACTTAAAAAAAATCAGACTGGTATAGGAGATAAGGTAGTTTAGGTAAATAGGATGATTCAAAATTAGTTGCAAGGATGGCTGAAGATAAACCTGCTGTTATTAAAATTTTCCGGTTGTAAAATTTCTGGTATTGCTTTATTTTTGGAACTATGAAAATAATCATTTCATATGATGGACCAATGTTATAGCTCAAAAATAAACAAAAAACCCACATTTTTTTCTGACTTGCTTTTGACACTAGTGAAAAGCGGAACATAAAAAACGCTGTTGGAGAATATTAACTAATGGAGTAATATACTAATGAAAGATGAATGGATAAAAGGAAGCGCCTGCAGATGACAGTATAATCCAGGGAATCCAGTTGCTCGATTGCCTCAGAATATGGGAACAAAAAGCAGTATATTTAGCCATAATAGTCTAGCTTGGCC